TCTGGGGGTTCCCGGGATGCGGCAGAAATTCCTACTGGGCAGGCGGGGTAGGGGAGGTGCTGCGGAGTGGTGGTGGGTGTCCCCAGGAGGTGGAAGAGGGTCTCACCCACTCTACCCTGGGCTGGGACCAGTAGGTCCCGTCAGCGCAGGATAGCCAGAACCTCTCCCACACACTCACCAAGCCTGGGCTAGGACTGGGTCTGGGGATTCCCTGAACATGGAAGAAATTCCTACTAGGCGGGCGGGGTGGGGGAGGTGCTGTGGAGTGGTGGGGGGCGTCCCAAGAGGGTGGAAGAGGGTCTCATCCACGCTGTGCCTGGGCTGGAACCAGTAGGTCCCGGCCGGCGCAGGATAGCTGGAAGCTGTCCCACACAGTCCTAATTTTTAAAATTAGTTCATTAATTTATGTTTGATGCACGTTCAAAAAATCCCTCAAGATGTCTCACATGTATCCGTAAGGATTCGACAGAGCAAAGAAGCCACAGTCCCTCTGCCTTTATCAATTCTGCTCCACACTAGAGAAGTCCGCGCTTGGCCTTCTAAGCAGAGGAATTCAGCTGGAAAAACAACTGTAGAGATCCTGGACTCTGCACATAAGAATCTCTGAGTCAGATAGCTGTGTATTGTTAATCATAATATACACGGTTCAGTGCAAGGATTAAGAACACCTTGAAGCGCAAACCTCATTTTGCTGTTAAGTCCAACAATACGTGCCCAAGTCCTGAACAATGGCTTTAGTGAACTGTATAATTTTAAAAACTGATTTAAAAGACCGTAGACATATTCATTTATTATCTTTGGCATTCTTTTCAGTAGGAAAGATGAGACACCACTATCAAGGTAATTATTTGAATACCAAGGAGAGTTAGTTCTGTTTAACCAAGGAGTGCTTCCAATTTCAGAGATCATGACATGACAGAACCAGGAGGGAGGACTAGAGAGTAAAAAGCTGTACAGTCAAGCACTCAGGCTTTGCCCATCACCAACCACAGAGGGAAGGCTCGGCCTCTATAACCTTGGCTTTCCTTCTATGTAACAAAAGGCATGGTTACATTAAAAGTATATCCTCAGAGTTGCTGATAAGTACCAAAGAAAGAAACCTGTATTGTAAGCATGCTGTGTGTTTGTTATATGCACAAAAATCAGGGAATGTTCTTATTGCTGCTGTATATGCTCTCTGAATTTCATTACATGTGCCCAGACAGGGTTTCAGGGCACAAAAACTGATGTTAAAATACAGAATTTCAGCTAGTCAACAGGAGTATGTCCAAGAGGTCTAGTGTGCAACATGGTTAACCATGTAGCATATTCTTTAAAAGAAATAACAGATTTTAAGTGTTCTCAGCACTAAAAAAATCAGCATGAGGTGATGTATGTGGTAATTAGCTCAATTTTGCCATTCTATTAGCCCAACAACATGCTGTAAATGATAAATATACTTTTTCTCAATTAAAAATGGCCATATATTTTATACAAGTAGAGTGGTGTTAGTAATAATGATAACAACACTTCTCAGAGCATGTAGTCATCTGTATTAGCTTAATTATCTATTTGACTATCGTGGACTCACTGTACAGGTGTTCTGGGAAGAAAGATTCTATCTCTATTATTGACTCACTCATTCCTGTCACATGCAAATTATCTAATCTTAGAGAGTTTTATTCCCTTACTTTGTGGAGAGTAGATAGAAGTCCTTCCTGTCTATTATTGTTAAAGATTGACTTCAAAGATTATTCACTAAATAATATAATTCCTTGAAAATATAAAATTTATAGACTTTGACGCATCAACACAATTGAACCAGAGCAGTAAAATAACCACCTGTATAAACCAAGGAGATAGTGTGAAGGTACAGCACTATCATTAAGAACAGTCTTTGGAGTCAGAAAGACTTGGGCTAATTCCTAGTTCTGCATGTATTGCCCCTGGGCAAAAATGGTACCTAAGTGTTTCCTCATCTGTAGAATGGGTATAATAATATAAACAGAGGCTGTTCTAAAGATTAAACATACATGATGTTTTAGGATGATAGGTGGCACATAGTATCCTTGAAACAAATGGTTGCAATTACTATTTTTGTCTACACTGACTCACAGACAACTTTAAACAAAGTGCTAAATCCTTTTGAGTTTGCTTTTATAGTTTCAAAAAAGACATTATCTGCCACCTTCAGATAAAAGGTTGCAATTAGAATTTAATTATGTCTGCAGGTATTTTAGGTTCTCCTAATACTAGTTCTGTCATCTCAAAATTAGTATTCTAAACATTTCAGAAAGCACCCACCCACATAAGCCACATATTGTGTACTACTGGAAAAAGATTGGTGCAGAGGGACGTACATGGTGTCACTTCGAGGTCTGTTTGTGTTTCTCAATCCCTACATCCTTCCCACACTCTAATCCACTGATCTCAGGTCTCCTGATAGTGCCTGAATCTACAAAAATCTTTAAAATCTCTTCCATATCTTCAAAAAGAAAAGACCCAAGGGAGTGTTCTTGGGAAATTTATTTGTGAAGTTCCATGAAACCTTAAGTTTGACAGAGCATGACAAAACAAGGCAGGACACCCATTTTCATGGAGCATCTCAGAAGAGCTGCATCACAGCTACTCAGCTACTCAGCTCGTCCAGTTCTCGAGCATGTGAATCCATCAGACATGCTTATGAACCTCAGTGCTGACTTGAAGGCCTGAAACTTGCTATTTCTCCTCCATGTATCTACTTATTCTTTTTATTTTGAAGCAATGACATATTTTGAGACGAAGCAGCCTAGCAGAATAGCAAAATAGCAGAATAACAAAGTCTATTTGTTACAGCTACACCTGACCAATTAGCTCCATGAAATGTTACATTAGGATAAACTCAACTTCTGCAATATATCAAATGTTGTAATCTTTCTTTACAGAACAGGGATGATGTAATCGAAGTGTTACACTGTCAATCACAGGTTACTTTTGACACAGTACAGAAGTTAGGCCACATGCTCAACAAAGATGGTTTTTAGAAAATTAAGTAAGGCACTCAGTAGTCTTTACAATGTTTTAAAAACTCACAAATAAAGGAAAATTGTATGCCTGCCTTTTCCCACCAGTAACTATGTGTTCAGTTTCATATCTATCTCTATACTGTTTATTTTCTTGGTGTGCATACATGTGTTTGTTTTCTAATGCTTTTATAGTGTAAACTTTCCAAAGAAGACTCCAGTTCTACCTCTCACAGGATAAAGGTTTTAAAACCACACAAGTCAGGTTCAGATTCTGGTACCAACATTTGATAAGCTTGGACAATCTGAGCCATAGTTACTTTATCTTTTAGAAGGAGTGATAAACCCTTCTGAAATCATCACCAAACTTCCAACAAAATAACACTTTATAAAATTTGACATGATGTGAGTCTCCACAGGGCCTACTACACAGCAAGAACTCATTTGGAGTTGTTGCATGGATGAGGGCTGACCATGGTAGAAAGAGAAATGAGTATGTATTAAATATATGTAGCACAATCATGTGGCCACCCTTTCCTCAGGGGAGGATCCAAGATCACTAAATACTCATTTTAAGGGATAACACTGTTACAACTTTTTACACTGAAATTATTTTCTGTAAACAAAAATAATTTTTAAGAAATAAATTGGAACAGACTCCCTGTTTGACACAGACCACTGAAATAATGTGTCCTCCCTTTAGTTTCTATACCTTCAGAGTACCCTCACTGCCTTAATCACCACTGTGTGGCGTAAGTGATACTTTTCTTCCCTGGAGGGTCAGGTGACTAAGGAGAGAGCTCCTCTCATTAGTATATAATTATTCCAATTTAAAGAAAACAAAGGGTGACTTCTTTTAGAGCTGGAACAATTTCATTCATGCATTACTCTCTTACAAGTCCTGTGTTTTTTTATACCCACACCACGGTCTGATGTTCTCAAACTTTAGAGTGAATTACTTGCATAAGTGTTTAAGCAAGATTGCCATGTCTCATCCAGAGAGGTATTGGGCATTCTGGGATGCAAGCTGGACCTCTCTATTTTTAATAAGGACTCATTGACTCCAATGTGGGCATTTTGTTTTTGAATATTTCCTTTATTCATCTCCAAATACATAGAGTCCCTCAAATCTAACACAGACCAGGACTAACTTCTATAGTAATAGTCTTAAGAATAATGAGGAACAAGAAATTAGAACACAAAATGATTATAAACCATAGAGAAATATTACAAAGGGCAGGGAGCCTTGAGAAATCTAACTTTGCAATATCATGGGCCAGTATCGAACTTCTATTGAAAAGCATGTTAAACTTCTGTCAGTGACAGAACCTATTTTTCCTACTAGGACTTTTATATTTTTGAAACACTTTTCTCTCAAAGTATAAATTCATAAAGAATAATATACCAATATGTCAAAGAATATAAATTTCAATCTGAAGATAAAGTTATTCTGAATCCAAATTAACACTAAAACCCTGTTAGTACAGAAGTTATTTTGTGGCTAGTCATTTCACTTGGTTTATTTGTAAAATCTGACTATGATACTTAGCTGTACTGTACTATTCTTTTGAATTATTTCTTATTTTTTGAAAATATTTGTAATTTTACATTTTAAACTATTCTCCAACAGACAAGTATAATTTTTAATTGCATGGTTCCAAATTTATATTTTTGTCATATATGCCATCTGAAATATTTTATTAGATATAATCCACATTAAAAACATACTCTACTATTCTTGAAACAAACTAAAAGGCAGCTGCCACAACACCATGTTCTGTACCTTCTCTCACTGTAAACTCACCCCCTGCCCCGAGAAAAAACTGGGGTGAACAAGACAGAAGAGAGGAGGAAACAGCAACATAGAACTGTAGTCTATTTCTTCACACAATGTGAAATATCTCAAAACTATTTTTCTATGTTATACAGTAGATACATAAATTGAAAGTCTATACGTTTCTTGGTGTAGTTTATGCCCCTGTAAACAAGTGATCTGGCAGAAAGGAGAAGGGAACTTACGGATACATTGCTGACCAGCAAGGAAGAGCCCTGTGGAGATCGGAGTATGCAGTGAAGTGGCTCCCTCAGCTCCATCGGTGACTCTGCAGGCTAGATCGAGGTGAAGAAAGAAGTCACCAATGATCCAAGCAGAACCAGCCCGACAAGTCATGGCTAGGACAGGAGAGAGTTTGTGTGTCTAGTAGAACAAAGACAAATTTTATAGGGACCAAGAGCAAAAATAACTTGTAGATACTTTCTAGGAGTAGAACTTAAAAACTATTCTTAAAAAATAGTGTAGGGCAGAATTTTTAGAAGGGCCAGGTGCTTAAAACTAGATAGAATTTTCAGAGTCACTCACTCATCTCCTATTTCCAGGGAATAAACTAAGGTTTAATTAAGTGAAGTGGCTTAGTCAAGATCACATAATGAACCGTCACCTGAAGACTAACACCAATAAAACTAATCTGACACATTTTCTACTATGTCATGCGTATATAACCAAAAGGTTTTTTTTTTTTCAGCATTATTATTTATTTATTTATTACAGAAGCTGAGACACATCACACAGTCCAACAAGAGAAACTTCATAGATTTGATAACTTTCTGTTTCCCTCCTTTGGTGCTATTTGATTGAAGGATCAGAGGTTCTCATAACCCCTAGGCCAGCAGCTTCAGTATGTTCTGGGAATCTTAGAAACTCAGATGCTATGTTCTGGACCCAGACTCTATGTTGGAAATGCCAAGGTGTAGAGCCAGCAACTTGTGTTACATGACACATACCCATGATTTCAATATAGTCTGCAGTTTAAGAAGTTCTGGAATGGACACTTAGAGATTGGGAACAGACACTGTGCGACTATGCAAGGGTTTCTTGCTCTTAATAATGCCCTAACACATTCATTTGAGGCCACTCCTATTCAATATAGTTGTGGAATCATTAGCTAGAACCATTAGACAAGAGAAAGAAATAAAAGGAATAAGAATAGGTAAAGAAGAAGTTAAATTATCTTTATTTGCAGATGACATGATACTTTACTTGAAAGACCCAAAAAACTCCACCAAGAAGCTATTAGAATTAACACAGAAATTCAGTAAAAAATCAGGATACAAAGTCAATACCCAAAAGTCAATAGCATTCCTCTACACAGATAACAAACACACTGAGAGGGAAATTATAGAAACAATACCTTTTACAATAACACCGAGGAAAATGAAATACCATGGAATTAATCTAACTAAGGAAGTCAAAGATCTTTTCAAGGAAAATTACGGTACTCTAAAAAAGAGATCCTAGAGGATTTCAGAAAATGGAAAGATATCCCATGCTCCTGGATAGGAAGAACCAACATTGTGAAGATGGCCATACTCTCAAAATTGCTGTACAGATTTAACGCAATCTCTATCAGACTACCATCAACATACCTCACAGAGGTAGAGAAATCATTCTTAAAATTTATCTGGAACCAGAGAAGACCTAGAATAGCAAAGGCAATCATGGGCAATAAAGACAAGGCAGGAGGCATTACAATTCCTGACTTGAAATTATGCTACAAGGTTACTGTGATAAAATCAGCATGGTACTGGCAACAGAATAGACCTGAGGATCAATGGAATAATTAGAAGATGCTGAAGCCCCTATGAACACACAGCCACCTTATCTTTGACAAAGGGGCCAAACATACTCACTGGAAGAAAGATAGCCTCTTTAACAAATGGTGCTGGAAAAACTGGCTCTCTATATGCCAAAAACTAAAACTTGACCCAGGTCTCACCATGTACTAAGCTAAAGTCAAAATGGATTAAAGATCTAAACATTAAAATAGAAACACTAAATCTCCTGGAAGAGAAAGTAGGAGGAACTCTTGAAGACATAGGGGTAGGCAAAGAGTTTATGAACAAAAACCAAAAGTTTTTCTTTGGTATTAAGTATAAGTAAGCTTTTGAAAATACAATAGAGACTAGAAAAGTATTAGCTTCTTAAAACTGAATGGTATCATTCTCATAAAAAGTCATTTACAAATACTAGTATATCAGATTTATCATCTAGCTCATTTTATTTACAGAAAGTAAATGATATATAACTTTAAAAACATTTTCACATACTTGCAAACATCTGTGTTGTATCAAACATAATCTTTAAATTGCCTTTTCTAATCCCCATAAACTAGATTAAGTGCTGCTAGTATATGTTTTTATGGTATAACATTTACCACTATACTAAAATTTTTATTTGTTTCACTTTAGTAAGACGTGAATTCTTCAGACAGGAATTTTGTTACTAGTATAAATGAGTTTTAAAATACATATAGAAAGGAAAGAGTATGTATATGATCAGTCCTAAAAATATCACCATAAAGAAAAAAAAATAAATCCTGTTTAGTTCCACTACCTATTCATTTAGCTTCTGGGTTACTTGAATATGTACAGAAATTGAAATTCATAATAAAGTATGGGGTTAAGCTGCCACATTTGGAATTATGAATTGCAATTAATTGGAATTATTCTTAACAGTGACTAAACTCCAGACTATAATTGAGACTAAAGAGATATAATCAATCCTGAGGGATTGTGTGCATAATTGTTTACTTAAAATCATTCACTATAAAGTGTAAGATTTCTATCTACTCATTTGGGAAGTGCAATTTAGTCAGAAATAGAGGCAATATTAACATACAATTAACATAATTTTATTAACAAAATTTGAGGATTTTGAAATTAAGTTGCTTCTATACATTCTTTAAAAATAAAATGTTTGAAAATGTCAAGTTTAAGATGGCTTAATACTACATTGTATTGATATTTATATCCTATTAAAATGCTAATTATTATCTTGCTGTTAATGACAAACAGGTTCCTCTTCAGGGTAACTTTGTAATAAGACTCATTATTTTTACTTATTTTAACAAAGCACATGGCTTTTTGGTTTTTCTTTCACAAAATAAAGATTCTGAAGTAAATAAATTTTTGATAGATCCCTAAACTCTTAGATACATAGATTTATGTATAGCTAGTAATATGGATGCAGAAAATGGGACTGTTTTCTTTAACTGCTTTAAGAATCCTGTAAGAATAGGATATTTCTTCTAGAAAAACAGAAATTAAGAGTATTTAGAGAAGTGCATATCACTTCAAATATATTAAAATATAATAATAAATATGTCTCTTTTCTACATTGATGTTCTTTATTCAGGTTTCTGAAAGTCATTAAGCTTAACAAAAAATGACGATACATGGAATAAAAACCAGACAAAAGGTTTTTAGATTTAACTAACAATAATGATGCTAAAGCAATCCGTTTAGTTTTTAGAGTATGGGGAAATACAATATGGGCTAACATTATTAAATCAGTGATTGAATGAACACAAAACTTTTGTTTTGGGGGATACCAGGGATTGAACTCAGGACCTTATGTTTGCTAGGCAGGTGCCTATGCCACCAAGCTACCACCCTGTCCCCAACATAAAACTTTTGGAGCCATTTTAATTTTCAGATTTTTGCAACTGATCTAATGAACACTCCTAAGATTAACCAATTTCATATTGGAGAATTAGCTGGCAGTCTCATGAACAGACTCTTCCTAGGACATGACCTAAATTTATTTATCCTTACTGTTCTCTCTACCATAGACACTTCCAAAGTATACAAAAAGTTAATAAATTAATGATCACATTCAAGAAAAAGTAAAAGTCCAAATGTGTTCTACATCTTCTTTAAGACAGTTGCTCTAGTAAAGATATAAATTTGGTTTTGAACTTTCTGACATAACTTATACAACTTTCACTGGCAAAAAGGAAGACATTAAGAAAATATTTTTTCTGCTACTAAGTTGATGAAGGAATTTCTTATATAAGAGTAACAAATGCAAAAGTGCTATTAGCAATACTTTTACTAAAAAGCATAAAGGGATTTATGTAATTATTTCTTATAATAAATTCAAAATCACTGGCAAGCATGACTGAATTTGAAGTTGCTGACAACTTTATAAAGGAGATATTTTTATGTGTACACTTCTCCTGGTCTTGCTTGACGCAAAGGTACAAGTCAAGATAAGTAAGGCTGGAATACAATGTTTCTTAGATGAATTTCCAACAATATTTGTTCTATCAGAATAACTTTCCAGGGACAGAATAAGTTAGAGAAATAATAAGAGTTCTTATACAAGGAAAAATTCTCAGGATTCAAGTTATATGTTGCCAACTGAGAGAAGATCAGTTTATTTGGTTAAATCAAAAATGTGCTTGAAAGAAATCTAGTTTGTCAAAACTGAGAAAGTAGATGAAGTTTTATAATTAAAGTAAAATCCTATGGCTGGTCAAATAGCTCAATGGATTAAAGCATCTGCTTAAGTGAACTAAGGAGCTGGGGGATCGATCCCCAGCCTGCCATGCTGGCCTCGCGCCCCCCCCCCCCGGGGCACACTGAGACCTGCAATTAAGATTGGGCATGCTGCAATCCCAGCACTTGGGAGGCTGAAAACAGGAGGATCACTATGAGACTGATCTGTGTAGTGAGACCCTGCAGACCCTGTACTAAAAAATAAAAAATAAAATAAAAATAAAAAATAAAATCCTATGAAATTGTGATTTTAAATTGATGCTTTTTGCCACCTTAGCAGATTTGGTGTGGTTGGGAGGGTTTTTTGTTGTTGTTACTTGTGTAGGGTATCTTGATGAGAGTGTTATAGAAAAATAGGGAAAGAAGGATGGCAGACTGTGCACACTGCTTTGTCCTCAGCCAACACTGGCCTCACCCTGTCTGCTGTTTTCAATTTTCAGTCTGTTTAGTGTACTTTTGCTACTTCCGCAGACTTGTGCTTATCTCTGTTTGCTGGCACCCAGCCTCCTAGACAAAAATAAAACGAGACTCGGGAATATTTTGGTAGTGTGCCAGATTTGGTAAACAAAGTCATGTTGTAGTAGGCTGTCTAGTGACGGCCTGTAGCATTCTCTTCATACAGTAGCTTGGGAAAATGCCAGAATTTGACTAGACTGCCAGCAGATTTCCTTGTGGACAAGGACTTAATTGCAGAAAACAATGGAAAGTAGGGTTAACACTTTTATCTCTGAATATTGAATTTATAGAATGTTGGTCTCTATTTTTATGTTATT